TTTCAAGATCCAGAAGACCTTAAAACAATACTTCAATTGAGTCAACGGCAAGAAGGTTTGTAGATCGTCTTTTTTTTACTAAGTACTTAATAAAACTGTCTACAGATGTCTATTTATAGATAAGCGACAAATTCAGTGAGTGTTCACAGAATTTTAGTTAAAAACCATCAAATATCACAAGGACGTGCCGTATTAACGTGATTACAGTGCCTAAATTGTTATAATTCCCACGTCTTAAGTATTCGGTATAAATTGTGGTTTGGTTGAAAATCCTTTACCGAAGCCTACCTCCATCTGATTGCATTAAATATAAATGAGCGGGTCTGAAGACAGCGTTAAGTCACCGCCCGGTCAAGGTTTACCCGGATGTCGTAGACGGATGTATCCGATACTCAGTTATAAATACGCCCGGATTACGGAATCGTTGTGTTTGTAAATTCCGGATGCAACAATTAGCATCTTTGGCGACGATCCAACTATATTAGCATACGATACACCTTTAGGAGAACTTTGTTTGTTCAAAATCGTCTTAAAAACAATACTATAAAAATGCATAATTAGCGTTTTTTTTAAATTCAATTCAATTAAATTTCTTTTTTGGCCTTGTTACAAAAAAATATCATATTTCGCAAGTCAAAATACTATAAAAATTAAAACAACAGAAAATACCTTATTACTACAATTTCGTGACATAAGATCATCGAGTATATAACCAGAAATAGAGACGAAATGTCATTTAATATGTTTGGAGACTATTCCGCCAAATCATTACGGTGATATCTACGCTCCGATTGGCCAGCCCAAATTGGAAACACTGGACGGGTGTTGTCAATTGTTTCAATTCAAATAAACCAGTTTAACTAGAACTTTGCTATAATGGATGAAAATTTAAAAATTACATGTTTAATATTTAATTATCGATGAATTATGATTCCGTTGTAATTAGATGTTTTGCTTTTGTTAGAGATATTGTTAGAGATATTACCTTTATTACAATAAATACAGAACATTTTTGGAATACGGTGACGTACATACAGGTCAGTTGTTGGCACTGTGCTATTTCAGCTTTCTAATTTGTGATTTCAGCGCAAACGAGAGTTGATATTTAAAAGTGATATTATGCCCATTTGCCCGATGGGTTGGGTGGATGGATTATTTCGTCGCTATTTCTGGTTATATACTCGATGCATAGAATCAACCAAACAAAATTAATTGAAAAACCACATTAAAAAAAACATAAAAATTGTCATTTAAGACACTGCAAAAATATAAAAACAAAATTCAGTATAATGTCGAAGATAAATTAAATATTGAGAGAATCTTCCAAATAATTATAAAAATTTGGTTTTCCTTCAGGGAAAGTTCTAGGAATTCCTCAGTTTTGTAAATTAGGTTTTTTAAAAAAATCGTAAAGAATAATTATTCACTATTTCATGTATCTAATGTTCCTAGATATAGGTTAAAAATATCATATTATGTTAGCGTGTCCTTAAAACGAAAAAATTAAATTTGTGCGAAAAACTTCCATTTGTGAAAGCATTCCTGGGGCATTTAGATTATGTCAATAATCTAAATGTCCAAAGCTAATATTATAAAACGCATACGACGAAAAATACTTCTGCTCATTTTCCACAAGCGTTTGTGAAATAAATCTATTTCGTTAGTGATCTCACCCCGCTTCTTACATTGGAGATCACGCATATTATGTTGCAATTTACAAGAAAATCTATTTACCGTTAAGAGTGAAATGTATAATTGGAATAACGAAACAAAGTAAAGCATTAGATACTTATTTAAATCAATTGCCAAAGATGTATCAAATTTAAATTGAGTTAGCTCTGAATTTGGACCGTTTCCAAGACATGTCAGTGCAAGTTATTTAAGGACTTCAATAAACTTCGTGAATTGGAATTAATAATTCACTAATATACGCATGGCGTCTGCAATGTTGCGTTTGAGGGACTCCAAAATCGAATTATTGCGTGAATACAAATTAAGAATGAATTAAGCACAAGACATCCCTAAATCTCTATTACACTTGTAATTTCGAATGAAACAGAGTTAGTGTAAGATTTACGAGTGTTTCCCCAATTTGTTCTAATTTTAAACGGCTGTAGATAATTAAATTCACAAAGGGTCGACCGGTGCGGAAACTAGGCGTTGTTGTACCCTTTAACACGTTGATAAATGGTGTAAGTGCCACACAATGGTGGAAAGTTGGCGACGTAAAGCAAAATAAACTGAAAAACGCCAACACGTGGGTAGTAGGGGCCATTTGTATGATGACAATGAAAACACGTGGTGAATGTGACCAACGATAAAAGATTTGTACCGAACTGTCATTTTGTGTATTCTACTTTAAAATATTTCTTTTTATATGACCTGTAGTAAACTTAGAAGTTGACAGTAAATACAATGATTATATGTTTTTACAAATACAGAATTTTTTCTTGATAAAAACGCTTAGTGATGAATTGATAAATTCACCCAAAAATAAACAAAATCGACATAAAAATTGAAATTGTTCTGTAATTTATATTTTAAATCTGTGTACTGCAATTAAAAATGTGTTGTACTATTCACTTAATGGAGCGTTAATAGGAAGGTTATAAACGTTGTTCACAAAATTTTGATTATTGTTTGTAGAAACAGATGGCTGTAACATTAAGCTAATTACGCCGCGGTTGCTACGCTGTTACGCACCGTAGTATGCTACGGCAACTGTGTGGTTCAACTCATATAATGTTCGTTTGCTACGGGCACAGTGAGTTTCAATTGAGCTCATATAATAATATTACTGTCAAGACAAGTGAATAGGCATTATGTCGTGTGTATGCTCTATCATCGACCTTTTGGTCACTTGCTTCACATCAGGTGAAAGGTGCGCATATGGCACTTATTTTTAACCGACTTCAAAAAAGGAGGAGGTTCTCAATTCGACTGCATGTTCTTTTTTCTTTTCTTTTTTTTGTATGTATGTTACGCAATAACTCCGGTATTTGTGAACCGATTTTCATGATTCTTTTTTTGTTGGAAAGGGGGTATATTGAAGAATCATCCACCTTGAAGGGTTGTTCACGCATGAAGATTCATTTACATAAATAGCGCCTAACATTAATTTAGGAGCAATTACTTTAATGGTTGATTTTGCTATTTCTCCAATTCAAGGCGTTTTTCTCTCGATATACTTTGAGTAGTGAGAACCGATTTTTTATTATCTCCAGTGTCAAGTCCTGTATAGTGGCGAACTATGGGATATTTCAATAAAACTTAGCAAATAGACGTAATTCCACGTACGGTTGAGGTCGGTTTTTTAGTACTCTGTACTGAGATTATTATTTATTTACTTAAACTTTAATGCACACAAAACAGTACAAATAATGGACTCAATGCCATTAGGCGTTCTCTACGCGTCAATCTGAAGGCTTCAGATAGGCTCAGAATAATTAACAGGCGATGTACAACATGTAATAATTATTACATATATACTATAATAAATATTTAACAATGTTGGACCAATAAGATACAGATGGAGACTCCAGCATGAAATTGAAATTTTATTACAAAGCAATTTTTTTTTATTCTAAAATATTATTTTTGTCACTTAATGATTCCCACGCTAGAATTGCAGGAAATAGTTTAACGTTTTGAGTACTTAAAATAATATATGTTCTTTTATATCAAATATATAATATTTAGGATACTATTTCGTTTATTACTTATGTATGTAATTTTGCTATGTTGTACTGTAAGCAGTAGAATTAATCAAGCACAGAAGTAAGTGTTTTCCTTACGTTAATGAATTTTTAAGTGAATATGTGACAAATTTAACTTAGAAGTACTTTTAAATACATGTTTGTTTTAACTGCATTAATATATGATGATAGAATAAAGAAATCAAAACAGAAGTCGTATCTATTACATTTTGTTTCTATCTTGTTCATTTGCTGCTTGTATTTTATTATATTTTGCTGACTAGATAATTGTTTAGTTACGTTTCCACATATTTATCCATACTATTATTAGTAGTTATAATAGTTGTAGTAGATGTATTATTTACCTACTATATCTACTACAACTTCTATTACTACCATATCTTCTATTAATTATTAAATGACGAAATCTTTGGACTTTTGAGGCGATCCGCCAGTTCGTTTTGTTTGGAATCTAATAAAATTGTATTATAAACAATATAAGTGTTTCTGTTATGAAGATTTTTCTTATTTCAACGCGAATAATTAACAAAATATTTTTTTGATACCCATGATAATAATTATTTTTCGATAATAGCCGCGTTTGTTTCTTTCTTTGAGGATACTATATTCATTATCGGTGAAATTTAATATCTCAAGGGACTATTGTTTGATATCAGCAAGTCATAAATGTAATATTTTCCGAGAGCGCAAAGGTTCTTTGCATAATCACTATAATTAAAGTAAATATATTTACTACGTCCTATTCCGTAATTTATATATTTTCAATACATTCCAGCATTTTCACGAGATACCTGGAAAAAAATGAAAATAAAAGTTTCATACAAAAGATTACAAATGTCGAAAAAGAAAAGGAGAAAAATCTTACAGGGAAAGTGTACAGTAAAAAAATAGCACCTTATTACCAATTACCTGTTTATTTACAAAAATGAAAATTTCATCTGCTATATCACAGCGGAAGTAGACTGCAAAAGTGACAGTAACTGCTACGCGAGCATTGCGGCTGTGTTGTGGCTGCTCTACGCCGTAGGCGAGACGATGAACGTACTACGCGCGTAGCAAAATAGACTATCTAATAAAAAATTCAAATTACAACACATTTATTTGGAATCACAACAAAATATAAGTCTTTATTTCGACCCTTATAAAAAGATATACCAATAATATAATTTGGAAATAAAATTTATAAAACTTTAATATCAAGAATAATGCAATGTAACCTTTTGCCAGGTCAGAGATTATTTTTTATAATTAAATTTTTCTTATCTTAATAAAAGTAGATCTTACCGTTCGAACAGCTGCCTAAAGATCTGCAACCTAGCATTAGTACAATCTCACATGATACAAAAAAATCTTTTGGTATGTTCAAGCACTCGCGGGCTTTTCTTTTGTTGTCCGAACTTTTGAGTAGAGAGTTCTTTCCGATTGAATAGTTTGGATGACAGTTGATGTTAAGAGGTATTTGTTGTTAGTGCGCTAGGCGGTGGAGTGCGGGCGCGGAGAGCGAGCGTGCGACACACGCGGCGCGGGCGGAGCGGCGGCGGCGACTGGCGGCCGGCGCGCGCCCCCGGCCCGGTCGATATACGCGGAAGAATAAACACGCCGCGGCCGCACGTACACCGTCAGCCATCATACGCCCCTACCAGACCTCTACCAAACTTGCATTTCCCTCGCTTTCATGCTCGCTCTACACTCTAACTCCGACTCTACAATCCGATGCAAAAGCATCAAATTCCATTGTCGATTTTTGACGTTACAAGTACTTCACTCAAACGCTGCACAACATTGCCCCTTTTTATTGAACTTTATGACCGTGATCTTTAAGCCGTATTTCGCTTGCAAGTTGTAGCTTTAGCAGGAGCAACATAAAACTCGGACAGATTCAGAGCCGGTGTTGCCAGCGTCACGGTGTGAACACGAATGTTTGCCGTGGTTTATATCTCACAGCGTCCCTATTCAGCTAAACACTTCACAAGGTGGTTAAAATCGATTGTTGAGTTTAGGTTGCTCCCTAAGTAAGAGAGTTTGGTTACGCGATCTTAAAGAACCGAACAATGATTATGGTACTAAGCATATTAAATAAGCACATTTTGGTTTTTTATTTTTCAATATTGTTATTTTACTTGCAATTTAAGTAGCAAGAATTTAGTTAGATAATAGTAAAAATGACTCGCGTAATTATTAATATTATTTTTTGTTGTATTCTTGTTTATTGTTACTGATTTTTTATTCGTTTAGTTTGTAATTTTAATTTATTTACCGCGATGGTGAATGTCGGTGTATGGTTTAACCAAAAATGGCTTTTGTTACACCGTTAGCAGCTTAGATTTAAGTTCTTCTTTTTGTACCTGTTTCTTAATAAATAAAAATATGATTTTAATATGAAAATTATTGTTATTATCGTAAAATGCCAGACTTGTGATTTTTTCGACCTTCATCACCCCGGCTTCACAAACGGCTGCATTTATTAAATATGAGAAAATTGTTGACAGAGTTCAAGTTTGCGCAATTCGAAACGTTTGCTTTGCTCAAAGTCATGAGAGTAGCACATGTCGTTAATTTTATTAGTACTTTATTCACTCGAGGACAAAATGTTTTTACTTTAAGTAAGGCGTGTTTGTGTTCCTACATACAGCAAACAGTTAGGGGAGGAAACGAAGTTTTTTCCCGCGTTTTCCTCCTTGCAATGCTTTGTAAATAAATGACTCCGTCAAGTCGTGAATAAATCAGTGATGAGTTCCTTTATTTCACTACTGCGCACCGCCTTTGGCGGCGGTGGCGGTGCGGAGCTGCAGGTGCGAATCTAATCTAATTTAGCGTAATGAAATTCGGCGTCCAACAACCTTATGCAAAAATTATTAGGCAGTCATGGATTTCTCTTTTTCTCCAGGTTACTGTTGCTAGTTGGACAATGTTCACCTTATACATAGATTCGTATAAGTATATTTTGTGCTGTACTGTAATGTGCCTTTCATTTTTAATTTACAAAAGGGTTCTTACACTAGGTACACCTACAGTTTACAGTTCATAATCATGTTGGTACTCCTATAGCAGAGAATCGCCGAAATTGCATTGAGTTCAGTGTATAGATAGTTTTATTATGCAAATGGTGGCGAAATGCGTAGATAAGCGAAGGTTGTATGCAAATCGGCTTAGTGGTATGCCGATTGCTATTGAATATCGATATACGTAACGGCTCAAAACCGTGTTAGAAATATGAGGACCGAAATATGCTTTCCAAAATAATTAATTAATAATGCAACAACAATAATATTAAGATTAAAGGGCTGTAGTTGTTAAAAAATTATAATATACTCGAACATAGTTAGGACAATTTTCAGACCCCCCCGAAGGGGTTCCCGCCTTGTCGTGGCGGGGGGGCTCTAGTAGCCGTGGTCGATTTCATCCCACGGTGAAGCTAAGAGGAACCCACGGGGCCGGCCGATGGTGGTAGGCTGGCCCGAGGAGGAGGGCGTTCCGCGCGGGGCCCGTCTGGTCAGCGAGACCGCGCGGATGCGCGAGGAGGAGGGTCGCGGGGGGAGATACGTGTCGGTGTGTCGTTGCCGCTCGTCCTGTCCTCCGCTGCCGAACGTGGGCGCTCCAAGGGACTCTCTTTGGAGAGTCCGCGCGGAAGCGCGTTAGGTGTTGCGGCGGAGCCTGCCATCAGATCCGCCGCGGGGGCTGGGGGAGCAGCCACTGAACTTCACAGTTGAGTGGATGCTGTCCTGGCCCCCCATGGCTCCTGGGTAGCGGATTCGGGGGAGTTCGTTGCCCAGTATAAAGGGGCCCGGGATGGAAGGCTCGTCTGGTGTTCGGCGAGCCTCACATTCGGAGTCGGGGGACCGATGTGTCTCCCTTCTCGAGGAGGGGCTGCGCAGGGCGCGGCCAGCCGCTGGTGGGGGCGCGGACGAGTGCAACAGTGTACCCGTACCCCCACCTACAGCGGAGAGGAGGAACACTCCGGGGGTTTAGTGCGGTCGGGCTGCTCCCAGTTCAGCCCAGTCCCACATAACCCCGGCTCTGCCCCCGCGGGGCCGGGGTATCTGTAAGCAGATTCCCCCGGATTAACAAAAAAAAAAAAAGGACAATTTTCAGATATGTCAATTGAAATAAAAAAAAAATATTAAAAAACTCGCTGACAGTGACTTATTTAATTTCATTGGAATAAAGTTTCTAGGTAGAGGAGAGACTAATACAGTGAATAGCGACATCTCTCGCCAGGACTGGTAGCTGTAAAGGTACCAACTGGGTGATAAATCTGTTAAAGATTTCTCATAGATGGCGCTACGACTAAAAAGTCGTTGAAAAACCAAGTACAAAGACACGACGAAAGCACATAGAAAAATTCGTGAGGTCCGTTGGTTCGTTCCGTGGCTTAGTTGGTATAGCGTCTGGCACGGTATGCAAGAAGACGTCGGTTCGAATCCGACCGGATCGAAGGAATTTTTTCTGAGTGTTTTTTCTGAGTGTTCGATCTTTGTATTAATAATTCTAACAAACTAGTGGAGTAATTTCACAAAAAATAATTGAATATCAATTCAATAAAAATTTAATTAGATTGGACAAATCAATGGAATAAAAGGAAACTACATTTCAGAATATTTATTGCGGAAGCTTGCTTGCAGAATATTTAAGATAATCACGTCCGAAAATGATGGGGTAATTCGTGTACACTCTCGCACAAGTCCTCTAATTTTGACGTAAGGGAGACTTGATGTCCTAGCCAATTATGTCAATGACATCTTACTGTTGATAGACACAAGGTTCACATTCCTAAATTCAACTCATGTTTGAGGATTAACACTCGCACTAACGGCTGGTTCACACTTGTACGGTTTATTACGATTCATATTTCTTATTCAGTTTTAAAAAAAGCATGTGCGTTCACATTTATGCCTTTTGTTAGCCAGTCAGCCTGTGTTCAGTTGTAACTCTAATAATGCAAAATTACGTGGAAAATGGTAGATGGCGTTGCAACGGCGATTATTTATTGTGTAAAAAAAACAGAAGATTTTGACAATATTCAGTTGTTCAGTTGTATCACGGCGGTTAAATCTGGGTTACTTTTGGACCTTCCCGTCAGAATTGTGACCAATCTCTTCGAGGCGTGGTACAAAAACCGAACTGCGTGATTGCCACTGCGACCGATTCGGTTTTTTTTTACTGTACGCTGCCACGGTTTCCAATGACAACTCATGGTAGCGAAAATAAACGAATCGGTTTTTTTCATCGTACACAGTTTTAATGTATGGTGTGAATTCACCCATATGTTCGTATTCAACACTGGAAATCAACCAGAAAAGCGATTCGCTAAATCGTACAAGTGTAAACCGGCTCTAACCCGTCGCCCGCTGTGTATGCTCGATTGATATGACTGTAAGATTGAACGCTTCGCTTCATCCTGTAGTGACTAAGGGAACTAATAGCTTTATGACGTTTTTGCAACAATCGCAGTGCCATAAGATTGCTACTTTTAAAGTAATTAAACATAGAGTTGTATACTGGTGTTGGGAAAAGTTTAATAGCAGTGCGATTAATTTGAAAAATGGCGTAGCGGTATAAAATGGATAAAATATTTTATATTTGTTTCGCTAACGTTTCTTAGTGAAACGGCAGATGGTTTGAAGCGTTGCTTCTACAGCTTTGTGGTGCGGTTTTCATCTATTTTTCAACAGCACGTGACCTCGTTTGCACATTGTCTCCGTGCTGGTTAAGTACGTTTTCAAAATGTTTTCAGTTGGAATTGCGTGTTGTCTGAAAATGCAAATATCAAAATGGTTTCGTCCGCTATTATGCATACGTTTTTCTCAGTAACCTTTTCAATTACCAAGCTTAAAACTACCGTGAAACATAAATTTGCAAAAGGCTATTTGGATGACAAAAATCCATGGGACTTGATACGTTTAGCTCTATCAGGTGTTGTAAATATGATAAAATAAATGACAGGTAAATATTATGATATCGAATGTTTGACATGTATAAGGGTTGCCTCATATTTTCAGACGCAATTTAATTTTTTGTTTAATGAAATGTTGTCTTATCCTATAGATACGTAGAGCGCACTATAAGTTTCCGGAATGAATAAGAAAAAAATGCTATAAATGTTCAGAAATAAATTTACTGTTTCTCAAAATATTCTCCACTAGCGTTATAGAAATAGAAATAGAAATTATTTATTCAATGTAAAGCACAGCACACATACAATTTACAAACAAAACAAAAACATAAAAAATAGAAGAAAGAAAGATAAGGGAGACAGGATGTGTGCTGTGCAGCCACTGAATCGGTCATCCACTCAGCTATTGCCGTCTCACTGAAAGTGTGGTACGACGCTGATTTTCAGCGTTAATGCACTTTTTCATACGAATGAACCAATTTTGAAAACATTTACGCCACTCCTCCGTGATAATCTCTGAAACATATTTTTCATACTCTTCAATAGCCTCTTCAGGTGACGAAAATCGTTGACTGCGTAACTGGTTCTTAATTTTTGGGAATAATTAAAGTCACAAGGTACCAGGTCGGGACTGTACGCGGGATGACTCATAAGGTCAATGTTGTTCATCTTC